CTTTTTAACACGGTACCGCATAAGATGGAGAAGCAGACAGGAATAACTGGGGAGGTGCTAAAGCGGATAAGGAAGTACTCAAGGAAAAAAAGTTACTGTGAGGTGAGATATCTCAAGAGTGGCAAGATGTCACTAACGGAGTCCCACAGGGTTCAGTTTAGGGACCTATACTGTTTCTCATGTAAAAGATCTTCCAAAAGGAACAGACTCTTTCCTCAATGTTTGCTGGTGATGAGGATTAAGACAAAGGTAGCAGGGAGCTACAAGACGCCCCGGCCAAACTGAAAGAATGATCCAACAAATGGCTTCTAGAGTTTAACTCAAGTAAATTATAAGTAATGAAACTAGGTGGCGGGAGCAGGAGGCCAGACATAAGGTACCAAATGGGAATGAAGTCCTTCATGAAACTGAGAGAGGGAAGGATTTGGATGTTGTCACACCGAACCTGTCTCCTGAAGCCCACATCAAAAGGATATCATCAGCGGCGTTCGCAAGGCCGGCTAACATACGAACTGTCCTTTAGAAATTTATGCAACTAATCCCTTAGAACCTTGTATACCAAACGTGTCTGACCTGGAATATGCGGCTCCAGCAGAGTCCATACCCAGTATAACACCAGAAGAAGTCAGAGAATGTTCAAAGATATGCCACCAGACCGGTTCCACACCTACAAGGTACGAGTTATGAGGAAAGGCCGCGTGTATTGAACCTTAACGTCGCCGGAAGACAGAAGAATTAGGGGAAACATGATTACACATTCAAAATTCTCAGGGGGAATTGATAGGGTAGATAAAGACATTATTTAACACGGGTGGTACACGAACAAGGGGACACAGGTGGAAACTGAGTACCCATATGAGCCACAGAGACACTAAAATGAACATTTTATTATCAGAGTAATAGATGGAATGCATTAGGCAGTGATGTGGTGGCGGCTGACTCCATACACAATTTCAAATGTAAATGATAGAGCCCAATTGGCTCAGGAACCTGTAAACCAATTGACTGACAGTTGAGAGGCGGGTCCAAAGAGCCGAAACTCAACTTCCACAAGCACAATTAGATAAGCGCGCGCGCGCGCGCACACACACACACACACACACGACACAAGGTGGAGACTGAGTACCCAGATGAGCCACAGGGACGTTAGAAAGAACTTTTTCAGTGTCAGAGTAGTTAACAGGTGGAATGCATTAGGCAGTGATGTGGTGGAGGCTGACTCCATACACAGTTTCAAGTGTAGATATGATAGAGCCCAATAGGCTCAGGAACCTGTACACCAGTTGATTGACAGTTGAGAGGCGGGACCAAAGAGCCAGAGCTCAATCTTCGCAAGCACAAATAGGTGAGTGCATAAGGGCTGTGGTGGCTAAGTGGACAGCGCTCGGGATTCGTACTCCTAAGGACCCGGGTTCGATCCCCGGCGGAGGCGGAAACAAATGGGCAGAGTTTCTTTCACCCTGGTGTTCCTGTTCACCTAGCAATAAACAGGTACCTGGGAGTTAGACAGCTGCTACGGGCTGCTTCCTGTGTGTGTGTGTTAGAGAGAAATATATGTAGTAGCCATAATAGAGGAAAAAAGAGATGGCAAGAAAGACGGGGGACCAAGAGCTAAATATCTCGACTCTGCAGTCACAAATATTAAATACACATAGTATTCTTCCCACACCTAATCAACCCATTACAAAATTCTTATGTATCTGTATTCCTTCATTTTCGAATCCAATTGCATATCTTCTTGAGGTTATCTTGAGATGATTTCGGGGCTTTTTAGTGTCCCCGCGGCCCGGTCCTCGACCAGGCCTCCACCCCCAGGAAGCAGCCCGTGACAGCTAACACCCAGGTACCTATTTTACTGTTAGGTAACAGGGGCATAGGGTGAAAGAAACTCTGCCCATTGTTTCTCGCCGGCGCCTGGGATCGAACCCAGGACCACAGGATCACAAGTCCAGCGTGCTGTCCGCTCGGCCGACCGGCTCCGGCTCTGCATATATATATTCTCAAAGTTAATACTATATAATTGACGTAACCGTATCAGAAAATCCGGATAACTTATACAAACTCTAAATGAAGTCGGATGACCTGCGAACGGAAACACTAAAATCCGGATTTGTTGAAAAAGTTAAAAAAATAATAATAATGTATGTGTACGAAAACGCAAAATTACTGACGATTTAAACAAAAACAACAAAAACGCAAACTATCAAACAAAACAAACATGCGGCTTGAAACAAATGACGAACAAGTTAATTACTGCTACGATGACTTCTTAGTTTTACCAGCTTAAACTCCAGTTAAATAATTATATTCTACTGTAACAACTAAGTCCTATACACACCTCCATTAAGAAAATTGGTGAACTTAATGGACAGGATTTGGCGTGCATTTACGTAGCGACCTACGAAACCTGTATATCTTTCCTCAGTTAAGGGCGGCTTTGTTTATACTCCTTAATATAACAGTGCCACCATGATAAGGAATGATGCTTGCGCATCGCCTTAAACTCTCTTGATATCGTCTTGAACATTCAGGATATCGTCAGGAACAGGCTATCATCTTCAACCCTCCGGATACCTCCTTTAAACCTCTAGATATTGTTTTTTGAGCCTATTAATATGGTCTTCAACCCTCTTGATAACGCTGAGATGTATAAGGGAAGGAAAGTCAGCGGGCGGAGTATAGCTCCTCTTAAGCCCTCTTTTAATTTCTCTGAACCCTCTTGATATGGCGAGACTCGCGTAAAGAGCAGCAGTTGGAGGATATTAGATCTCATAAGAGCGGTGTTGGTGGAGCAGCCAAAGCGGTTTAGCGGAGACTCGTGTAAACAACTCATTCACACGACTGGGCGCCCCACCGCGGGTGGCCGGCACGGTTGCCACCGCGTTAATAAACCCACAACCTTACCTCACCTCTACAGCCTCCTCTCCTACAACTCCAACTTTCCAGTGCATCTGACCGATTGCAATGTTGATTTTAATCGATGTTACGTGTGATCAAAAGGGATCCCATATGTATTATTTGTTAAAATATATATCATTGGTGGAAAATGGAAAAGTTGGCAATAGCCGGAGTTCTCGCACATGATTGGCTGGTGCCGGGCAACCCGGCCCCGCCCACCGCCAGTATCCTCCTCAGCGGGTGAAGGGCGTAACCCCCACCGCCGCTCACAGGAAACTCACCCCTCAGCACCGGGTAAATTATGCTTAATTTGATATATAATTGAGCTCGTTTAGTATTTCATCCCGTGTAACTAATGAGATGAGCCGGTGGATCTTAGAAGGCGCTAAGCTGGAGATCTCCTCGTACAGGAACGTTCATTTTGTCCCGGGTAATTAGGGCCCCCGTGCTGTTTATGTCAGACCAGCGGGGTTAATTAACGGGGAATAGGTAGGGGGGGGAGGGAGAGAGGGAGAGAGAGGGAGAGAGAGAGAGAGAGAGAGAGAGAGAGAGAGAGAGAGAGAGAGAGAGAGAGAGAGAGAGAGAGAGAGAGAGAGAGAGAGAGAGAGAGACAGACAAGAGAGACAGACAAGAGAGAGAGAGAGAGAGAGAGAGAGAGAGAGAGAGAGAGAGAGAGAGAGAGAGAGAGAGAGAGAGAGAGAGAGAGAGAGAGAGAGAGAGAGAGAGAGAGAGACAGAGACAGAGAGACAGAGAGAGAGAGAGAGAGAGAGAGAGAGAGAGAGAGACAGACAGACAGACAGACAGACAGACAGACAGACAGAGAGAGGGGGGGGGGGGGCACACACAATAGATAAAAGCATACACAGTGAAATAACAACAGCGTGATTTTCCTCCACAAGTGTACCGATAGACAGTGAGTCGTCGGGACCTTTAGCGATAGATAACAACCAAGGGGGGAGGGGGGGGGGGTCCCCTACGGTAATCAGAGTCAATTATTACCAGCAGAGACGGAGTGTTGCCGGTGACGGGATCTGTCTGTCATAAATCTTGTCTTGGGCTCAGGGTATCTTGAGCCCTGAAGGTTCAGTCTCTGAACAAATCCACAAGGGCCGTGACGAGGATTCGAACCTGCGTCCGGGAGCATCCCAGACGCCGCCTTAATCTCGACTGAGCTACGACATGGTCAAAAGGAGTTGAAACCGAAGTTCTACTGAATTTGATGCATCAAATGCAGAAAACGGGACAGTACGTCACTTTCGCCAGCCGCTTCCATTTTCCAGTACGACAATTTTTGGCCGTATGTAACGCATACGATCGAAAAGCGACGTTCTTTGTAGTAGGAGAGGTTAGTTACGCGCTCTTCTTCCTCTGGACCCTTCCAAGGGCTGTATGGTCAGGTTATCTTGAGATGATTTCGGGGCTTTAGTGTCCCCGCGGCCCGGTCCTCGACCAGGCCTCCACCCTCAGGAAGCAGCCCGTGACAGCTGACTAACACCCACGTACCTATTTTACTGCTAGGTAACAGGGGCATAGAGTGAAAGAAACTCTGCCCATTGTTTCTCGCCGGCGCCTGGGATCGAACCCAGGACCACAGGATCACAAGTCCAGCGTGCTGTCCGCTCGGCCGACCGGCTCCCGTACTGGCTTCCTGCTTCTCCTCATAGTTATCTTGCTCACAGAACACGTCCGGCTCCTGCGAGCAGCCTACGTCAGACATGGTTTTAAGTATGCAGCTCTGGCATGGAAGATTTAATTGTAAAAGCACAAAACCACTAAACGAGGTGCGTTCCTGAGCTGAGGGACTTGAGGTACGAGGAAAGTCTTTGAGAACTGGATCTCACCATACTGGAGAGGGAGAAAAGGGAGGACATGACAACGACATATAAGATTCTAAACTAAATTAACAAAGAAACATTAGTAGTTTTTAGAGCTATGAAGAGCGGAGAGAGTTACAAAGCTGTTAGAGAAAGAACGTCATCATTGTCACAGTTGAAAATGGGTTGACGAACACGTACCTGAAGCTGATTGAATATGTGACTTTAAATACATTTTACATAAATACATTTTACATTTTACATATTACATTTTAAATACATTTACAGACTTTAAATACATACAAACATCAACGGCCATTACAATAAAATTGGAAGGCGAGGCCAGGAGCTACGCTCGACGCAACAAGCTCATCATGGTGAGTACACCATCAAGCACCAAACACCAGCCACCAGCCCAGGAGCTAGAGCTCACCTCCAGCAGCTATTGTGGGAACCCACCTGTGAGATTTATATTTAATTTATATGAATTTATATAGAATTTATATTTATGTTAATTTATATATTTCAATAGCAATTTGTATGATGTTTAGCGGACTGTATTTCTGCAATAATCTCACAAATCGATCCTTACACATTAGGGGGAGTTTTATTAAATATATATATATGCAGCCAATCAAACTTCAGTATCAAAGTACATATATTACTTAATAAAATTGGAGATGCCTTATCTTATTGTATGGTAGGCCTAGTCCACCAGGTATAACTGGGATGTAGACACCAAATTATCCTCGTGAGAGGCTAGCTTCCATCACCCAAGTAACTGATGTACCAAGATTAATTCTTGCTTCCTCTTCGTGTTCCTGTCAAAGGGCACTAGCTGTAAAGCCGGAATCCTAATATATGACAGCTATATCAGATGAAACATTTATATATTATTAGATAAGGACCAAGGCTTAATTACCTGTATTTAGTGGCTCGTTCGCGTCCTAACCGGTTCGCCCTATATCTACTTAACATTAACTGGTGGTACACCTGTTGATTGACAGTTGAGAGGCGGGACCAAAGAGCCAGAGCTCAACCCCCGCAAGCACAACTAGGTAAGTACACACACACACACACACACACACACACACACACACACACACACACACACACACACACACACACACACACACACACACCTGGATGCAAATAAAGCTGTTGGACCAGACAAAGTATCACCGTGGATACTTAAAGAGGCAGCGCAGGCTCTCAGCGTGCCTCTGGCAATGATCTTCAATGAGTCACTTATGTCGGGAGAATTGCCCAGTTGCTGGAAGGAGGCAAATGTCGTACCGATTTTCAAAAAGGGGGATAGGGAGGAGGCACTTAACTACAGACCCGTATCACTGACAAGCATCCCCTGCAAAATACTTGAAAGAATAATTAGGCTAAGACTTGTTGAGCACCTGGAGAGCATTGGGTTTGTAAACAAGCACCAACATGGGTTCTGGACAGGGAAATCATGCCTAACAAACCTTTTAGAATTCTATGATAAAGTAACAAGGATAAGGCAGGACAGAGAAGGCTGGGCAGACTGCATATTTCTTGACTGCCAAAAGGCCTTTGATACGGTACCGCACATGAGACTGCTATACAAACTTGAGAGGCAGGCAGGAGTAAGCGGAAAGGCCCTAGTATGGGTGAAGAACTACCTAACAGGAAGGAGCCAGAGGGTAATGGTAAGGGGCGAAAAGTCGGACTGGCGAACAGTAACAAGTGGAGTACCTCAAGGATCGGTGCTGGGACCAATCCTCTTTCTAATTTACGTAAATGATATGTTTACAGGAGTGGAATCATACATGTCGATGTTTGCAGATGACGCAAAATTAATGAGAAGAGTTGTGACAGACGAGGATTGTAGGATCCTCCAAGAGGACTTAAACAGGCTGCAGAGATGGTCAGAGAAATGGCTACTGGAGTTTAACACCAGTAAATGTAAAGTTATGGAAATGGGATCAGGTGACAGGAGACCAAAGGGACAGTACACAATGAAGGGGAACAGCCTACCTGTAACGATTCGAGAAAGAGACCGGGGAGTGGATGTGACACCTAATCTAACTCCTGAGGCACATATAAATAGGATAACGACAGCAGCGTACTCTACACTGGCGAAAACTAGAACTTCATTCAGAAACCTAAATGAGGAAGCTTTTAGGGCGCTTTACACTGCCTACGTGAGACCCGTCTTAGAGTATGCCGCGCCATCATGGAGCCCCCACCTGAAGAAACACATAAAGAAACTGGAGAAGGTTCAGAGGTTTGCGACGAGGCTTGTCCCAGAGTTACGAGGGATGGGATATGAAGAGCGGCTGAAGGAACTGAACCTTACGACACTAGAGAAAAGAAGGGAGAGAGGAGATATGATAGGGACATATAAATACTCAGGGGAATTGACAAAGTGGAAATAGATCAAATGTTCACACGTAATAATAACAGAACGAGGGGACATGGGTGGAAACTGGAAACTCAGATGAGTCACAGAGATGTTAGGAAGTTTTCTTTTAGCGTGAGAGTAGTAGAAAAATGGAATGCACTTGGGGAACAGGTTGTGGAAGCAAATACTATTCATACTTTTAAAACTAGGTATGATAGGGAAATGGGACAGGAGTCATTGCTGTAAACAACCGATAGCTAGAAAGGCGGGATCCAAGAGTCAATGCTCGATCCTGCAAGCACATATAGGTGAGTACATATAGGTGAGTACACACACACAGTCTGCCCTTATGTTCCCCCCCCCCCCCCTTCTCTATCCTCCCTTCTATCTATCCAGCGCCATCTATCGCCACACACCATCCACGCACCACAACAGGGGCCACGGAGGCACTTCCCCGCCGTTGTTCAAGTAAGAAAGTAAGTTTCTTGAGGATGATTTAAGGCTTCACAAACTCCTTCATTTGCACAACACTCCCAGATCTTCAACACGACTTAGAGAACTGGTCCCAGAACTGAGATATGCGGACGGTCCCAGGGCTCAGAGAACTGGTCCCAGAGCTGAGATATGCGGACGGTCCCAGGGCTCAGAGAACTGGTCCCAGAGCTGAGATATGCGGACGGTCCCAGGGCTCAGAGAACTGGTCCCAGAGCTGAGATATGCGGACGGTCCCAGGGCTCAGAGAACTGGTCCCAGAACTGAGATATGCGGACGGTCCCAGGGCTCAGAGAACTGGTCCCAGAGCTGAGATATGCGGACGGTCCCAGGGCTCAGAGAACTGGTCCCAGAGCTGAGATATGCGGACGGTCCCAGGGCTCAGAGAACTGGTCCCAGAGCTGAGATATGCGGACGGTCCCAGGGCTCAGAGAACTGGTCCCAGAGCTGAGATATGCGGACGGTCCCAGGGCTCAGAGAACTGGTCCCAGAGCTGAGATATGCGGACGGTCCCAGGGCTCAGAGAACTGGTCCCAGAGCTGAGATATGCGGACGGTCCCAGGGCTCAGAGAACTGGTCCCAGAGCTGAGATATGCGGACGGTCCCAGGGCTCAGAGAACTGGTCCCAGAACTGAGATATGCGGACGGTCCCAGGGCTCAGAGAACTGGTCCCAGAGCTGAGATATGCGGACGGTCCCAGGGCTCAGAGAACTGGTCCCAGAGCTGAGATATGCGGACGGTCCCAGGCTCAGAGAACTGGTCCCAGAGCTGAGATATGCGGACGGTCCCAGGGCTCAGAGAACTGGTCCCAGAGCTGAGATATGCGGACGGTCCCAGGGCTCAGAGAACTGGTCCCAGAGCTGAGATATGCGGACGGTCCCAGGGCTCAGAGAACTGGTCCCAGAGCTGAGATATGCGGACGGTCCCAGGGCTCAGAGAACTGGTCCCAGAGCTGAGATATGCGGACGGTCCCAGGGCTCAGAGAACTGGTCCCAGAGCTGAGATATGCGGACGGTCCCAGGGCTCAGAGAACTGGTCCCAGAGCTGAGATATGCGGACGGTCCCAGGGCTCAGAGAACTGGTCCCAGAGCTGAGATATGCGGACGGTCCCAGGGCTCAGAGAACTGGTCCCAGAGCTGAGATATGCGGACGGTCCCAGGGCTCAGAGAACTGGTCCCAGAGCTGAGATATGCGGACGGTCCCAGGGCTCAGAGAACTGGTCCCAGAGCTGAGATATGCGGACGGTCCCAGGGCTCAGAGAACTGGTCCCAGAGCTGAGATATGCGGACGGTCCCAGGGCTCAGAGAACTGGTCCCAGAACTGAGAAATGCGGACGGTCCCAGGGCTCAGAGAACTGGTCCCAGAGCTGAGATATGCGGACGGTCCCAGGGCTCAGAGAACTGGTCCCAGAGCTGAGATATGCGGACGGTCCCAGGGCTCAGAGAACTGGTCCCAGAGCTGAGATATGCGGACGGTCCCAGGGCTCAGAGAACTGGTCCCAGAGCTGAGATATGCGGACGGTCCCAGGGCTCAGAGAACTGGTCCCAGAGCTGAGATATGCGGACGGTCCCAGGGCTCAGAGAACTGGTCCCAGAGCTGAGATATGCGGACGGTCCCAGGGCTCAGAGAACTGGTCCCAGAGCTGAGATATGCGGACGGTCCCAGGGCTCAGAGAACTGGTCCCAGAGCTGAGATATGCGGACGGTCCCAGGGCTCAGAGAACTGGTCCCAGAGCTGAGATATGCGGACGGTCCCAGGGCTCAGAGAACTGGGGTATGATGTAGCAGGTTAGTGGTGCAGAGGAAGGGGGGAGGGGGGTGAGATGGAGGAAGACTGAGGAAAAAGAGAGGGAAGTGGGTGTGGTGGGAGGGTTGGAGAGACGACCGGTGGGAGAGGAGGGAAGATGGGAGGGGAGGTAAAGGGAGGGAGAGGGAGGGAGGGGCGCGACACTGCACTCATTTGCTATGTAATTCAATAATGGAGTTCATCAGATGCATTATCGCCAAGTTGACGGTCTCACGTACACACACTTTGATCTCCACCTCCACTATGCAACTGGCTAATTGTTGAGAGCGCTCCTCCCCCCACCCCACCTCTCTCTCTCTCTCTCTCTCTCTCTCTCTCTCTCTCTCTCTCTCTCTCTCTCTCTCTCTCTCTCTCTCTCTCTCTCTCTCTCTCTGGTGCTGGGATAGCCTGCGTCCACGACCAGGACGGTGGAGAGCAACTTAAGAAGCTTCTCTTCTGGCTAGAGGATAGCAGAAAGACATAGTTTGACTCAGCTTGACCACAGAGCTCTTCCACTCCGGTTTGTCCCCCCCCCCCCCACCCCTCCCCCGCCAATTGCATGTCCAATGACAGCTCTTGGCTCAGCCAGCACGACGGTACAGTGTATCTTGTACGGTACAGCCTAGCTTATAAGGTACAGTGTAGCTTGTTCAGCTCGGAGAGATGCCACACTACCATTTATGGGGGTAGAGAAAACCTTTATCCCGCTCACTAGCTGTTGAC